CGCTTCGACACGCACGATCTCCGCAGAGGGTTCGCCGGCCAAGACAAATTCGCACGGCGCCACAGCGAGAGCGCTTCGACACGCACGATCTCCGCAGAGGGTTCGCCAAGTCAAGACAATTCGCACGGCGCCACAGCGAGAGCGCTTCGACACGCACGATCTCCGCAGAGGGTTCGCCGCGCTCAAGACAAATTCGCACGGCGCCACAGCGAGAGCGCTTCGACACGCACGATCTCCGCAGAGGGTTCGCCGGTCAAGACAAATTCGCACGGCGCCACAGCGAGAGCGCTTCGACACGCACGATCTCCGCAGAGGGTTCGCCAAGGTCATTCGCACGGCGCCACAGCGAGAGCGCTTCGACACGCACGATCTCCGCAGAGGGGTGCGTTTCGTAAGCTCCCGTCGGGCCTACCCCCGCCAGAAAAAGAAGAAGAATTAAGAGTCGAGAAGTGAAGGTAGAACAGAAAAGTTAGCTTGTGTTTTTAGGATAGTGAAGTAACACCCGACAAATTAGCTTGTGCTTTTAGTAGAATGAGATAACAGCCGAAAAGTTGACATGAGAAGTTGGCAGGTGAAGTAACTCTCAAAAAGTTGACATGAGAAGTAGGCAGGTGAAGTAACTCTCGACAAGTTGGCATGAGAAGTTGGCAGGTGAAGTAACTCTCGACAAGTTGGCATGAGAAGTTGGCAGGTGAAGTAACTCTCGACAAGTTGGCATGAGAAGTTGGCAGGTGAAGTTGGCAGCCGCTTTTAGAAGAAGAACCCTTCGCAATGCTTCCGGGAAAAACCTTGACCAAATGGAAGTCGACACATTCTGTTCCTGCCCCACCTTTTGGGCTCTTGAACCCCACCCCCCCTTCAAATGAACGCTCCGCAGGACATTTCTCTGAAGCAAAGATCCCAGGTCTCGGCAGTCGCCCGAAGGCCGAGGTTCATTCATCCAGTCTGTCCCACCCGTCTCCCCCAGCTTGACCTTCCACGCAACGCTAAACCAAAAAAAAACGGGGGCTCTGTGGGGGCACCGCAAAGGGTCCTGATTTTTACAAACTCCGCGATTCACAGGCACAAAGGAGCAGACAAGATGAAGCTTGAGCGAACTGAGTGGCTTCCCTTGCTCAAAACAGACCCACAAAGGGGACAGTCAGAAAGACACGCGCCGTGTGGGCATGACCTGAGGCAGGGCACGACATGCAAACGACATTGAAACCGATAGAGTATGTCCACATGATGTGACCCTCTGAAAAAATGGCGCGACCCTGACATGATAGCAGCGCGGCTGCTAAAAAATCAGACAATGGTCAGACACACGTGCTTAAATAGAGACTAGAAGTGCAGGCACAAACAGAAACACGGACAAACACACCGATAAAGACACAGGCATAGACATAGACACCAACAGAGACACAAACGGAGAATTCGACAGACACTATCAGAGACGCTAACAAACACAGAACCAGAACGAAACAGGACAGAAACAAACTCCAAACAATGACAAGCATGCACCACACAGAGCAATCAAGCCTCAGCAACAAGTCAGATGTCCAGCACACCCCGGACCCGGTTGTTCAGCGACCCTGGCAGAAACAAAATGGGACCCTTCTTCGGGCTGACCATCTTTCGTGGGGAGGCCACCAAACAAAATGCGGGGGCAACATCTAGAGGAATCGGTCTCAGGCCTGCCACCAGAAGGACGGCCCCAAGCAGGCGCAACGGAGCCCCGAAGTGGAGGTTGGCCTCTCGATCACGAATCCACTGAAGGAACCCGCGGAGGTGCCATCGGCCGGGAAGATGTCGAGGCCGGGACCCGTCCAAAAGCTCGGCGACATGTATATTTCCCTCACAAAGTGGTAAGCAAAACGGGTCCCTAGCTTTGATGAATTCCTTTGAACGTTGCGGCTCGAAATCCTGCCAGAATCATCTTCTCAAAAGCCCGACATATTGGTCTCTCTTCGAGGAAAGCCATGTTTGGTCGCTGGAAGAACAGCACGCCAAACGACTGGGCAAGGCTCAGCAAAACCCGGAGGTTTTCTCCAGAGTGAGCTTATTGTAATGCGTGCACCACTGTGCAAGAAACCTCTCGGTTTGCCTTTGAAAGGGAGGCCTTCCAATTTCAGCACTGTTCAATTTCCGGTGGTGCTACTAGGTCCTCCAGGAACCCTCCCCAAAAAAGGGGTAAAAGGGCACTACTGAGGGACCGAGGCCAACTTTAAAACGGAACTCGACCTGGACGTTGCCCATCCTAAGGGCGCCAGGGCCTTCACATTTCCCCCCAGGTTACCTCGGCAAGTCCCAAACTTCTTTCCCGAGCCAAACGCCTCGGCAGAGCGGAGCCGCGTGATGGCGTCCGGCACCTCTCGGCGCATCCAGCACCCCTTGGGTCTGCAGTTCCCGGCTCCGCTGAGAACCCTTCAACCCGGGGGAGTGCCAAACCCCTCATGGTGGTTGAGCCCTCAAGTGCGGCCGAAGGCGCTGATCAAACTCTACGGGCAGGCGGACCCTAACCAAACTACGGGTGTCAACTACGGCAAAGTGATTGCCCGGTATCAAATGGTAGCTGCTTAGCCTGGCTCTATTGCTGAGATGCGAGGCTGAGATGCGATGCAGGCGACCTACAGTGCCCCCGAGTCCGCGGCAAACATATGCGCGTCCTTCAACATTGGGACAGCAGGTTTGAAACAGAAATCATGTCCCACCTTCAACAATCAACTGGGGTGGCTTTCCCAAAAAGTGAAGGACTCCCTCAATCAGGGCTCAATAATCCTGGTTCCCGTTCGTTAGGTTGGCTTCCTTTCCATCATAACCTCAACAAGGAGCCTCTGCTTTTTGAGACATGCCCACATCTGCCCCCAGAGCGATTCGGACAAACTCCCCTCAGCACCTGGTGCCGCAACTAGGCACCCCTCAGGCAGTCAGAGAAAAAGCGGTCCAGCAAAGGGAACCTTTGAACGCCAAGTAAGGCGCCCTTTTGGCATTTGACCCCTGTCCGCTTTCGGGCCTAATCGCCTTGCCAGGTTTGTCAAACAAATGGCCCCTTGGTCCTGGGGCGCTTAAGGACCCAGAAAGCCCCACACACCCTGGAACTTTCGGGGTACCCCCATTTCTGGTTGCCAACCAAACCTCCACCAACACTTTGAATACAAAACACCGCAAGGCATCCCAGATCGTAGCAACCAAAGGAGCCCCACCTTTACAACTTCCAACCTGGCATTGTTCTGTTCTTTTTCTTCCTCGTTTTCTGACAAGAATCCGAGTCTGAGCACAGAATCCGGTACAAAAATCGCCCCGCCGCCCGCATCGCACGCCGGTCTGGGGCTTTGGCAGAGCCCCCCGCTTTGGAAGGCTCCTGACAAACCAAACCAAAGAAGTTCGCACCAGTCGGCGGGGTTTCGCCTTTCACAGAAAATGGTACGGCGAATGGACCAAATCCTCACCACTTTGAAACCATGGGAAAGCCTGATTTGTGGGTGTTTACAGGGAAGCATCCTTCCAGGGTTTCTGAACGGTGGTGCAGGAGTTCAGTAGTTGCAGGAGTTCGTACATCCACAGGGGTCCCTGTTTGGATGGTTTCAAGGGCACACCCAAAGGAAGCCAACCACTTGAACCCAGGAAAGGATTTAGAACCTTCCAAGGGGTTGTGAATCCTGAGCTCTGAGAAGACGTCTGCTTTGCCGGGGTGGAGGTGTCGACATGTTCAGGTGACTTTTGATTCCATGATCGCCATCGACCGATGCATTCATTCATGCACATGCATGTAGGGATAAACACATACGTGCGCACAACAATGTCTGGCCAACCTTTCCAGAAGCCTTCGCTCGACCGCGGCTTCGACCACGAAACGAAGCCAATCCAATGCGCTGACAAGGGATCACGACCAGTGCGCGTGGGCTTCAGTGTCCATGAACAACTAGAGCCTCTTGCAAATGGCCGATCTGTTTTGGCTTCCTTTCCAAAACATTGTGATTCCCTTTGCGAGGCTTCGATGTCATTTTGCCCGACCCCCAGTTGCGCATGGTCCTCCGTCTTGGCAGAGCTGCCAGAGCACATCGCTCCAGGTTGGAAACTGACACTTAAACCTGCTGCCAAGAGAGACAGCTTGAGCCTTGCAGAGCGCAAAGGGCCATCTCCCTTATCTTTTCTTGGTTGCAACCGACTCAGTCTGCCATGGAGAGTAGACCGAGCAAAAGGCTCTTCCCGTGCTGTACAAGCACAAGAGACAGTAGGCGTGTCTATATAGGTACGTATACATGTGTATATCTGGCTATATATAAATACAAACATGCATACATTCGTGGGCACACGGTCACAGGATGTCACAGGTACCCTCGCCACAATGCTCAGATTCATTGTTCAAGGGCGCATCGTCACGGGGAATGCCTGGCGTTTAATCGAGAAGACTGCCCTCAAGGACCGCCGGCTGTTCTGAAGCCAGCAAGTCGTTACAGGATGCACCTCGCGTGGGCTCTATGATGGTGTCAACGCATGTCAACACTTGATGTGACACAAGCTGGAACGCCGCTTGTAGCAATGACAGCGGGCCCACCCCCACCCTCAACCCCCCACCCCCACCCCCGAAGTTTTGCGGCCGCCAGGCGCGGAAACCAGCCGGCGCCGTTTGCGGATCGCTCCCGGTCTTTGGTTGACAGACTTTGTGCCAAAGATCTGCGTCAAACTGAAGCTCCCCCTTGAATCGGACCTTCCTGCCATGTGGCCTCCTGCAAAACGCTTGGGGTGGCCTCAATTGGACATATCGCCACATCATGCACCTCGCACGGAGGTGCTACGACCACTCACGCTGCCGGCTGCAAAACTGCCAGGCCAAACAGTGTGTGTGTGTGTGTGTCTTGGTTTTCCTTCAGAATGGGTGATTTCCCTTGATTCCTTTGGCTCCCGTTTTCAACCTCGAGGGCCACCAAGGCGGTACCCCTCAAAAAACCCTCTCGCACGTTCCAATCTTCCGCCGCACCGCGCGACTCGGCGGAAACTCTGCGAACGCCCAGCAGTCAAAGCTCGTCATGCCCTTCCTCAGGAGGCAATAGAGGCGCTTGCCGCGGATTTTGAACACCTGTCTCATGAATGCCGTCATTACAATCATTACAAGCCCAGTATTGGGGGGGCAAATGCCCTCGCTTGCAAGGAGAGATAATCCTCTGCTGGAATGATTGATACATATGGCTATTCCGCTACTTGATGCCATGAGAGCCTGAGGTCGCCCCTGAATGCTAGCCACATAGACCGTGCTAGCACGCTTGCTCTGCTTGTCCTACTCAAAATGGTCATGTGGCTTCGGACAGGTGGAATCCATGTGCAAAAGACCAAACAACATCTGACAGCCACGGCCACAGTTCTTGCCCTTTTCTTCCTGGGTGGTCTAACTTCCTTTTTCATTTGGACACCATGCGAACCAATGGGACAGATGGGACAGATAGAACAAGTGGGACAAATGGGCCAAATGGGCCAAATGGGACAAATGGGAAGAATATGGTGCTTTGACAATAGGACAAATGGACTGCCAGAGAACCCCACTTCGACGCATGGCGCAGGCCATGCGATTCTTGGCATAAGAATTTGCTGCGGTCAGACACTCATTTGGACCAGTCTTGACACGGCAAAGTTCAAGAATCCCAGGACCCAAACTGTTCAAAGCCCCAGAAAAAACAAAAGACATCATATCACATTCAGTGGCCCTGTCTCCTACCCTTTGCCATGCACCGCCCTGCACCCCATCGTTCACAAATTCGCCCCCGACCTAGCAGCCCTTAAAGCCAAAACCCGCAAGGTTCCCTGAAAGTCCCCCAACCCCAAAGGCTTCCCCCTGCCGAAAGCTCTGAAAGCCCCTTCCCCTTCCCCCCCTCCCCTTCCCCCCCCTCGCCCCCCCCCCCCCACCCCCCCAAAGCCGCCCCTTCGGCCCAAAGCGCCATGTCCAACTCCCCGCCGCCGGCCGCGCCGGAGGCACCCGCGCCCGCGCCCGCGCTGGGCATCTCCGGCATCTCCGCCTGCAGCTCCTCACGGGGAGGGGAGCCCAAAGCCAAACCGAAGGACATGGGTTTGGACCCGCAAACCAAGGGGTTTGATGCGAGGATACCAAACGAAGAATTGGGCGTTCAGAAGGGAGTCGCAAAGTCGTTGTATAGTGGTAATTGGTTTGTCCCAAGGATAGCGAAGTTGCTTTTTTAAGGCTGGGTATCACGTCAATCAAACCCGGGGGATTTCTACCTCATGGGCAAACAGTAGCACTCCGAACCGGAAGAAGCAGCCCCGCAATTCTGAAAACAAATCGAAATCAGTAGCCCCCTTCCCCCCCCCCCCCCCGCTTCTAGATATATATCTCCAGGAGTCCTTTGCAAGGGTCACCACCCCTGTTCATGAGGCTTCCAGTGCCAACCCTGAGCCTGGGGCAAACCCTCTCAGCTGAAGGTGTCAAAATTCGCCGTTTAGACAATGACAGGGTCCCAAAACTGGCAGGCAGCATGCCTCCAAATCTGGCGGCTGTGAAGGACAGAAGCTGCGGGTTGCGTTTGCGAGTCCTAAACCTGGATTGCAGCATCCCATGGATCAATGTTCACCACAAGACTTGGGATCCCGCTTCAATGGAGTTTTTGAACCTCAAAGGGCCCACGTTCAAAGCAGCAATTTCGCAGAGTCCCCAACCCCAGCTCCCATTCGCCCGACACATTCGCTCGCCACAACCAGCGTCACCCAGCTTTTGTCGGGCTGAGAAACTGCTTCGGTGGCTTCCCTCAGATGGCTTGGGCCGGTCTCCGCCGGCCTTGTCTCAACGGCCCGTCCCATTTTTCCAATAGGAACCCCGCTGCCGGAAGTCCCTGCCGTACGAACACGAGTCGCTTTTGCGAAGTGTTTTTGGTTGGAGGTCAAATGTTGTTTCCTGCAATTCCATGCGCTACAACTTTGTGTGTTTGTTTTTTCCCGCGACGGACTGCGTCTGCTCCAGAGCTTCCATTTGGTTAAGACCCCTGGAAAAAATACGATAAACAATCCAGTAGTGATAGATTCCCTTTAAAACCAACAGGGGAAAATAAAAAATACTCACTTCAGCAAATGGAAGAGGGTGCAGCCGCTCCTCCCGCTTCTCATGGATCTCCTCCGCCTCGGCGTCCGGGTTCGCGGCCAGCCAATCCTACGGGCCGCCGCTCTCGTGCGGACCGGCGGGAGAGCCCCACAGGCGGCCGCAATGTGTCAAGGGAAGTCGGGGGAAAGGAACGCAGCACGTTCGAAAACCGAAACCAAACGCAAACTTGCGGTTGGTAGAGTTTGTGGAGTTTGTGGAGTTTTTGCGTCCCTTCATCACCTTCCAAGGAAAGAACGGGAAATACCATGTGCCAGCAGGAAACATCAAAGCATTGGAATTCAACAAAGCTCTATGCACCAACTGCAAATGAGGGGGTTGCCGGGAAACACATCTTCTTCGCTGGTAAAATCGCTTGACCCCTCTTGGCAAACATGTTTTGTCTGGGCCCTAAGCTTTTACATGTGGGTGCTACGTGTCTGGTTTGGGCCCGCAAATTCGTTTCATTGCGGAATCCAACCCATGTGTGGGGCCCATTTGGAGAGAAACCCACGATGCGTGTTGCGTGTGTGTGCGTGTTTGTCTTTCCTTTCCGCTTACATTTTTCAGGGCTCCAAAATGGGGGTGTCACTGCTTAAGGCTACCCCCTTTTGTGTGCTTTCAAAAAAAAAATGGAAACCACGAGAAGAACACCAACCCAGCACTTTTTTGGGGCCGGTCCAACCCGAAAATAGACGACGACGACGACGAGCCACCGAAAAAATTCTAAAATGCCTGCAGCAGTCTCGTCTCAAGCATCGGTCCTTCGCCTCCGCGGCGGCAGCCAGGAATATGGCGGAGTCCTGACACAAATCCACCGGGGTCCACACGCAGATTCCAAGCTGCGGAACCCCGTGCATCGATCCAGCTGAGGCTTACCAGAAATCCGCGAAAATAATTTCTACAGAGCAGACCTACAAGCTCGTTTTTTACCCCAGCCATGAAATTGGCTTAAAATGGGTGGACAACATGCAAAATGCTCAGTCTGGCTCTTGTTTGCCCATTCCCAGAACTATATAAATAGATTCTAATGAACAATGAGCTAAACCGAAAGGTGGAATGATTCGATTCCCAGCCCGAAAAATCGACATGGGAAAACCTTGATTTGGAAACTGTCCTGTTCAGTGAGCCCAAGAGGTAGAAAAGGGAAGCCAAAGCTTCACCCAAAAAATATGTACTGCCTGTTTGCCATGTGCAGTGCATTTCTGTGCCTCCCTTTGCACGAATCGCATCTCTGGCGTCGGTCGATTCGGCCCGTGAAAGGCAACCACAGGGAACGAATGTGCCACCTTTGCCTTGCATGGGGGGATCGGGGATCTGGCTTTTGCCTTCTTTCTGCTCCACATCTCGGCGAAAGACATAGCGCCGCTGCCAAGACTTTACACACAAAAGCCACCTGTGGCCTGCAGGAAGGCAAAGAATTCGGGACATATGCTTCGCAGCTTCCACCACGTGGAGCCTGTCGTGCCGGTATGGCAAACGACCTTCTTGCGTTCGCGCAAACATCTTTGGCAAACCCTCCCTCACTGTGATTCACTGGTTTTGTTCAGCGCGCGCGCGGTGTTGTAACAAAGCAGTCGAGCGGGTGCGCCTACCATGGCCAGGCGTGAGCGCAGTGTTATGCCCTGTCAGGCGTGAGCGCAGTGCTAAAACGAAGCAGTCGAGCAGGTGGCGCAGTGTTTTTAACGAAGCGATTGAGCGAGTGTGCTTACCATGGTCAGGCGTGCGCGCAGTGCTATAACAAAGCAGTCGAGCGGGCTTGCCAAGTGCACGCCGTTGAGCGCGGTTTCTGGTGCGCTGGCTCAAACTTGCGCCAGATTGGCCTTTAAATTCTCAACTCAACGTGTTTGGTTCTGGCTGAAGCGCCCAACGCGCGTGTGAACCACGCACATTGCACATCATCCTAGATGTTTCTGTCAGCACATGGTAATACATTCAACACGAGATAGGCCAAGATAGGCCAAACTGAACAGCATGTAAACTTCCATACGCGCTTACTTGCAAGAGCTCACATGTTCGCTGTTTAGCACAAAAACCGCATGACCGCTCGCCAAGGGAGTTATGCGCAGAAATCACCACAGAGACCAAAAATAGCAAAAACCATTCGCCATTACAAAACGAGCGTGCCGCGAAACATGCCCCCCCAACCGTCCCCCAATCAGCTCAGGTAAGCTCCGGTGCCGAAAATTTGGCCGCGCGCAACGAAATGGAAATCCCCCTCTCACCTCTTCTGACTTCTCTATTTGTTCCTAGCCCAAAAAACAACACGACCAAAACCGACTTCTTCATTTCTTAGAAACAAAGAACGCCTCCCAAGCATAAATGTCCTTTTGGAAAATAGATGGCCCTGGTAGACGCTTGAAACACCAGATGAACCTGGAATCGCCCTCTCTTTTTTAAGCAAAACCACCAAAAATGGAGCTGCAAAAAGCCCCCCCCCCCCCCCACCCACCCCCCCCCCCTGAGGGCCCTGAAGTCCCAGCCCCGTCGCCTCCTCGAGCGCCGTCTCCGCCGCGCTCTCCGCGGCGCGCGCCAGGAGCTTCAGGGCCAGCAGCGCCTGGCGGCTTCGCGGCTGCTCGGCGTCTTGGCGCGCGTGGGCTCCGGATGTCGTGGGCAGAGGGGTGGTGGGCGCCAAGTGGGGAGGCGACCCACCGCTCGGGACGAAGACGCTCCTGGCCACCTTCGTCTTCCAGAACCACTGTACGACGCGGGCAGCGTCTTTCTTTAGTCCCCCCACGTCGGGTTTCGCTCTGGAAAAACAGACCCAAAACGGGGTCACCACCAAAGAATGTTCGAGCCCACGGTGCTTCCTCCAATTGAGTGGATCTCTGGGGTTCAAAGGCCACGGGTTCCATCCCCAAGCCACTCGAAAGCAAAAACCGGGGCCGCCCCAGCCCCCCATACAACACATCCCTTCTACGCGGGAAGTTTCGGTATGAAGCTTCGCGACTTCGGGGAGATGATCCTCACGGGTTCTTTCGAACCGCCACTCAGGCGCTGGCCTGACAGCGGAAGCCGCTGGCCGCAACACAAAGATGTCTCAAGAGCAACTTCCGGCTCACGCCGTCGCAAGCCCACCCCAAAAAGAGCCTCCTTTTTGTTGGGAGGATTTGGCTTGAAGCCAAACCCCTCCAAACAAGGAGCAATGGGGCAAAAACGGCTCCAGCGACTGATTGATCTGGTCTGCATGTCACGTCCCCGCTCGCCCTGCAAGAAGCCTGCGAGTTGGTTCTTAAATCTGTGGCTGGCACTGGCAAGCCCTGGTTTCAAGATACTAGTCTTTACCCCACTGGCTGTTGGAAAAGGCAACGGTCCTCAAGAAGGTCCAAAGGCGAAAGGTCGCACAAAGAGCAATGAATGTCAACTCCGCTCCATTTTTCGCGGGGGCTTGCATGGGGCTTGCATACGGCAACTGGTTCTTGAAGTCAGATGTCGCAACTTGCTCGTCCCTCGGTTTCCCGATTTGCCCCCGCCTCTGCTCGCGCAAAGTCCCTCTGGTCCTCCTTCGCGAAGGTCTCGGCCTGAAGGAGCGCATTGGGCGAAGGTCTCAGCCCTTGGAAAAAAGTAAAATACTGTCCAGTAGTGATAGATCCGCTGTAAAACCAACAAGGGAAAACAGCATATATACTGACACAAATGGAAGGGATGACAGGTGCTTTATTGTTTTCTTACCTGCAAAACCTTCCAAGGCTTTTGCTCCGTTGTCTAGGTCCTCCAGACTTGAGAGGTTAGAGTAAGGGTACCCGATGTTATTTCTGTAGTCTATTTTTAGTAGGGGCACCCTCCCCCTTCCCCTTGCACGCCAACCAAAAGGGAATTCCCAACAACAAACAAACCCACCTATAGGAAGCCCCTGATGGTTTTCTTCCACCACACACGTACAGAGGGGAAAGGCACTGCTCTAGTCTGCGCCACTGGCAAAGAGTAAGAAAGTCACGCCTAAAATCCCCCCGCAAAGCTTCCAGTTGTCGCCGCTTCAAAGAGCAGCGCAGTGCAGATCAAGCCCAGCTTGGTCCAAAAATCAAAAGGCATGATCATGAATCTCCTCAGGCGCTTGCACGCCAAAATGTGCCAAACGTCGTGGAAGCCTCCCACTCCCTCCCAAACGAAAATAAATGAGGGATGTGTTGGAAGTAGTAACTTTGCGCTTACCAATCAGATAAACAAACAAACGCTCGGGCTTGCAGCAAGCGCCTGCCACGGCTCAGTTAGGGCCAAATTCCATGATGAGGACAGAAAAGAAAATCCCAAAGCTTCGTGCCGGGCATATGCATTGAGTGGGCTGTGCAGAGCAGTATCGCGAGGAAAGAAACGACAGCAAGCGTCATGTGACAAGCAGACCTTGGGAGCATTATTCTCCTGATTCCACCATTGCCCGAAGCAGACAGTGGTTAGACAGGCCTGGTTTTTCCATCAGGTCTGCGACCAATGAGCGCAAAAGCAGGTCTTGAAGACATCAGCAACCCTGTAGTCCGAACTCTACTCCACAAAATCAACTCCCTCGCTTGCCAAGACCATCTCCAAGTGCAAACCCAAAATTGAAGCTGCAAAAATGCGCGATGATTACAAGTTTCCAGCAAGCGCCTTGTCTTGGGCGCTGTCGATGCCCCAGCAAAAAGTGGTTACACTTTTTGCTGGTTAAAAAGGAAATATGAGGGGGAATCCAAAAAGTTGAAGTCTAAAGATCCAACCCAACAGCAGAGTTGCGAGGAGACGCATTTTTTTCATCAGCCCCCCCCCGCCTCGCGGAGCATCTCCTGGATCTGGTCCTGGCTCAACGCCTCCTTCACCTCCAGCTGCTCGCCTTGGAGGCCCGGTGCCGGTGTCATGATTGGAGCTAGGCCCAGTGATTTTATTGTTTTTGCTTATTGTTTGCTTCACATGGAGTCACTGGCTAAATGCGAAACGTATCCTAAGTCTACTCCAGGTGTGCGGTGAAGTTCGGTTCCAAGTGACATCAAACCGCCCGCCCGCCCGCCCGCCCCATCAAACAGGCCGCCCGAGATGTCCCAAAAGAAAAAAACATCATCCCCTGCCAAGGGCAACTCACCCCATCTGGGCAAAATTGGCGACGTTTGAAACCAAGAATGGCAATTTGGGCACCCTTCTTCGAGGCCACAAGGCCTCCACGCTTTCTACACATCACGTGCGGTGGACAGTCTGACGCTGGCGTCGGGTTGACGTGACACCCGCCAAACGGGCGCTTTCGGTTTCGCGCGCACCCCTTTCGGGCTTGCTCTAAACCCAAAGGGAAGCCACTCATTTTAGAGGACCCCCCCTCACTTGGAGCCCAATTATCCTAGGTTCTTCCGTTTCTCCGGGGGGGATGCTTGCGGCATGTGTGTGTGTGTGTATGACCTGATTGGGGTCAGTGCTCTAGCCCCAGACTATAGCATGCGGCTCGCAAACCCAACTCGAGTACTAAGAGCTCTTTCCATCTCGCCAGGCTCAAATGGCTTGGACAAGGGCGCAGGGAAAATCACGGGGTCGCTAGTTGAGAGGCTTCCGCCTGCTTTCTTGGGTGGTCTTTCTTCTTTTGTACTACCCATGGGGGCAAGGATAACAGCTTCCTGCCTCCTGCGTAAAAGACATTTCGCAAAACGGAAGTACATGGTAAGCAAACCAAACGTGCTCACGAGAGACATGCCCTAAACTTAACATAATTTCGGTTTCTCTTGGACCCTTGGAAGTATGCCAAACTTCTTGCAAAGCGGGCAGGAATCCAAGGTCAGCTCTTCCACATGTTGATGGACTCCACTCCACTTCTACCCAACTGGTGAATATACGTGTCTGTCTCAAAATAGGCGTACCACTTCCCCAAATGGATCATGCTTCTTTTGGTTGCCCATTCCACCAAACCCCCAAAAAGCTCCTGCCCCTAAAAAAAGCCCAACCAATTAACCAATCCCCCAAAAAGGGGGGGTTCCCCTAAAAAACCGACGAGCGCACCCCCCGATTTCGTTTTGGGAAAGCGGAGCCCGCCCGACCCACCTCTGGGCGGGCCAGGGGCCCGGGCTGTTGCCGGAGGTTCGGTCCAGGGCCTCCACAGCGAGCAGACCGCCGGCGTCCACCTGGCGAGGAAAGCTCCGTGAAACCTTCCCATGCGACTTTTGTTGTGTTTTTGCTTCTTTGTTTTCTTGAGGGGGGGCATCCACCTGGTTGTTCTGTTTTCTTGTTTTTGTTTTTGACTTGTTGAGACTTGAGCTTTTGGTGGCTGTGATTTGCATTTGTCTTGGAACTTCTGGGCGGCTTTCCGACTTCTGGGGTGCAGTTGGCGTTTTTCGGTTTTACTTTTGGTGCTTGTCCCATGCCAAACACACCCAGCAAATCCCATGCACCAGTGTGGTAGACCACCAACAATGTTCCTTTGGTTTTTAAAAAGGTGGTTCCCATGGATATTCTCTGGGTTAGAGACCTCTTTGGGCTGCCAAATGTGCTTCCAATCTTCCGAGCCAAGAGAATGGACACGAGTAGTCTGTCAGTCCGTTTAGCCTAGCGGGCCTAGCGGCTGGCCGTGTCTTAGTCATGCGCATTTCGTCGTCTGGAGCCTCGGGTATCACAGCCCTTGGCAGAAAACGTCACTCGAACTCCGCGCCTTGAAGGACACCTGGATCTGGGGCACACCCCTTGGAGCCGGGGAGATGCCTGGAGGCAACCGGATGGGGGGAGGGTCCGATTCCAATATTTTTTGGGGGGGCCCGAGTCTGCTTTGGAGAGGGGGTCGGTCCGATTCCTAAGTTTGTTTTTTGTTTTGGGGGGGGGGGAGGGGGAGTCCTTTGAAGAAACACCACTGGGCTGGCTGATTTCTGATCTGCTACAAGCGACCAACTTGTGGGTGAGATTCGGAAACCCTACCACTAGTCCAGCCAAACATGTAAGAACCTAAGGGGACGGCTGGGAACCACCAAGCATACTATGTGGTTTCCCCAAGAAGGGCACTGAACACCTGGGCTAGCAAACATAAATATCCCATGATTCTGAGATTGGTTTCATGGTGCCCCCACAACCATTCCAATTTTTGTCAGGCGCCAAAGAAAACGCTTTCGTGTAAAAAAGGTTGAAGTGTAGCAAGCACCTCGTTCATGCATGCGTCCCAAAGACCCGCAATCAACAACCCTAGGGGTTGCAGACCAATAAATTTGCTACTAAAAATCAACTACACCAGCATAGACCCCAGATAGCACCCCCAAAGCCCCAAAGCACCAGGCCGACCTCCCAAAAGTTCGCGCCCGCACAGTCACCCGCACCTCAAACAGCAACCCAAACAGCACCCCAAACAGCACCACCAAACTCCCCAAACTGCACGCCCCCTAGCACCCAGCCGTTTATCTCGCAAATCACTTTTCCCTCTTATTAGAAGTTAGAACCCCTATAGCTTCCAGCTCTCCGGGGAAAAAAACTCAGCCGCCTCAGCACATATGTTGCTTTGCGACAAGCTCTTTGTACCGACACCCTGCTTCTTAGCGTCTGATGGCCATAGACGGGGGGGGGCCAACTCAATGACTTGAGCAGTGATCTGAAGCCCCGGACCCAGCGATCCATGGGGAGCTTTCGATCCAAGGACCCCACGGCTTTGAATCCGAAAGTTCGTCACCCCCTTCTTGGTGTGAAAGGGAAACCCAAAGGAACATCACCACTGAGGGGGGCCGAAGGCCTACAAAAAGACGTCTCCGAACGAGGGCTTCTCAAAATGGCGCTTGTTTTGGTTGGTATTCAAAGAAAAAGGACAAAGAAGCCAACCATCCTAGAAAAACATCACTCTTGTGAGATGGCCTGGCAGTGGGCCAGGCCCCGGAACTGCTATGGAAGGCATCCATTTCATTGGGGAATTGGGATCGCGGAATTGGACCCTCTCTGCCATGAGGCAGGATGACAAGGTGAAGCAGTTGCCATCGGCAAGTTTCTACATGGCGCATGTGTCGAATTCGCGAAATCCT